GTCTTTGTTTAGCCTTAGTATATTAATCTCTCAGCCCCAGTCTTATTAGAAACCCCAAAACCCCGCAAATCAGTTTTATTTTTTGGAAAAGAATTAAAAAAGCCGGATAATAATAAAATAATTTTGTTCATTTGACATATTAATAAATTTAGTATTTTAGTTTGTTAATGACTGATACTCTTAGCTCATAAAATAAAACAAGTATTGATCCATCCACGATCAATCATTAATTGCATCACCGGGAAATAGTGCACTTAAAATAAAAAAAAGTTCATGCCCGACCACAAACTGCCAATAACAAAGCCAGCAGACATCCTATTTTAAGCAAACATTAAATCAGAAAATATGATGGAGCTGTATTTTGAAAGTCTGGAGGTGGTCAAAGTGCTGGTGGGCCAACTCTTCCAACTGAACATACCAGCTAGCCTGTGACTACCATAGTTCACACAGATTATTTTAATAACGTAAATAAAAAAGGTAATGGAACTCTAAGCAATGGTAGTGAGGTAGTATCACTGCATTAGACGAGTCCAACTCTAAGCAATCTGAAAACCTAATAAATTTTCCAAAAAACTAAAAGTAAATTGTGCCCAATAATTTTAATGTATAGGAATGTCTATAGATAGATTAAATAATGCAACGAGAGCAATAGAACCAAAGCATATTCAATATGAGGAAACATCACAGTTGAATTATCAAACAACACTTAATCAACAAATCATGAAGTAAGATACTACAAGAAATAGACTAATTAACAAGAAGATAAGGCCTACTAATATGCTGAGTCTGACTAAAATATAAAACTAAATGACGAATTTCTAAAAGGATCCTCAAGCGATTTTAGTCAATGTAAAATACGATTAGACTCAAAACATCATCCTAAGAAAGAATCCCCTAGTCATTGAAAATGGAATCTGGAGGACTAGCAATGATTTAAGAGCGCATGGTAACTCAGTCAGATCTCTACAATACAAAATACAGCAGCATAACTTAGCTTATCAAAAATCCTACTAATCACCCACAATCACAAAGCATGATAGCACTAATTATGAATGTCTGTATCACTTTTTGGGAATATTAAAGGATTAAACTGACAAAAAGTTGAAACAGCTCTCATCTCAAAAGAACACTATTACCTCGAATGTTGAGGAATTTTCTCCTTTAAAACCCTAAGATTCCTTCTTATCTTTGAATAAAAATGAACAGCCATCTTAATCTGCTTTGAGGAATAAATCTAAATCTTTAAGAAATTATGGAAGAAATTAGAGACCATTTTCAGCCACTGTGGGTGGAAGAATTAACCCCACTCATCAAAAGAATAACCAAAGCTTTTCTCAAAATGAAATTAATAAGGACAAGCTAAATACTTCAAATAGATCTTAGAACAAAAGAGGAGGAGTTCTCTAAGGGAACAGCCTTACTCAGGCTTATAAGCAATCTATAAATAACCAGTAGATGAATACTTATAAGAATTTGAAGAATATATTTGTGGGAAACTCAAGCTAGATGCTGACTAACTTAACTCTTTAATCTGAGAAAGACAGATTTAACTATCAAGAGGGATTGCATCTGCAACATTAATATATGTCATCCCCTCAGAGTTCATTATCGAACAAGCAGATTCTTTACACCAGAGTTAGATCCCCCAAGATTTAAAATCATTCCTCACACACTCCAGGAATTAATGGACATAGCAACATATTGAATTAAGATTTGAATTAAATGCTCATTGAAGAAGAAGCTGAAATGCCAATGATGATAAATTCAGTAGCTGAAATATAATCCAGCACCTATCACTCATAAAGAATTTCAAGACCCGCCTCAAAGTATAAAAAGAGATAACTAACTCTTTAAAAATCAACTTCGAAGATAAGTTCTGGCGCAGGTGTCACTGGAGTGGGCAATGCTGGTAGTAATACAACTCAAAACAAGAAAAAATCATCTATGAACAAGATAACTAAGAACTTACTCGCTGATGACTAGAAAGATAATATGAATAGTTATTTAAACAGGGATACCTTTGATGGAAGTAAGATTGAGATGTGGGGTTCTTAGTCTGGATTAGGATTTGTTGCTTAGAATCAGAATGGACAATAGGATTTTAATAAGATCACTAATATAGGGTGCGGGGGAAGCTATCTTCTTGATATGCTTAATAACGATTTAAATATAGCTTGACATAGATAAATATTCTATATATAAAATACAGATCATTAAAATATTACCTTCATTAAATTTCATTATCTGAATAAATTCTAACATAACGGGGTTTTGGGGTTTTGGGGTTTTGGGG